GGGGGCGGCGGGGGAAGGGCGCGCCTCACAGATACTCTGCCCCGCTGCCTCAAAATGGCTTTTCCATCTTTGGCCAGCTCCATTTTCTTCCTACCCGAGGAGGGATGGCGTATTTCTTAACCGCGCTCCACGGATTCGAGTTGATTTTGTGGAAAAACGATCCACCGGCCCACTTATACACACCACACACCAGGAAGAGCTAGCGTTGGAACCAGAGGTTTCCTAGCAAGCATTAAATTGATGACGGTGATTTGGGCTTTTTTTTTTTGTTAGATATCAGAGAGTTGTGGTTTGTCTCTGGAGGAGAACTGGTGCAAGTAGTATCTTCACTTGTTTTTTTAACCTATGTTCTTGAAAGGAAAAGCCAAAGTGTCTCACAAATTAATGAATATGGTATATATATCATTGAAAGTATCTATAATAGTCCTCACATTACCAGTACAAGTGTAGCTGTGATCTAGTTCCTTGGCCAGGTAAAATTATAGAGTAATGGTATTAGGTTAAGGATGTTTCAGAGGCAGGTATTTGTGAATAGGCAAAAAAAACAAAACATGATATTATTCCTAATGGATCAGTTGACGAAACAGCCTTACAACACCATCTTAAGCATCTCTACCTGGAAGCAGCTACCACTGATTACAGCGAGGCTTGTTCCAGAGTAAATGTGTTTACGATTCCAGCATTCATGTATCCTGACCAAGTGCAAAGACTGCAAGTGTATCTACATTATTAGCAGAGAGTGAGATAATGTGGGCCATTTTGAAATGATTCAGCTTGATTAGAGCAATCTAATTTGCTCAAAATTTAATTGCTCAAAATCCTCCAAGGTAGGCTTCAACAGTATGTGAACCAAGAACTCCCAGAAGTACAAGCTGGATTTCGAAGGGGCAGAGGAACTAAAGACCAAATTGCTAATATGCGCCGGATTATGGAGAAAGCCAGAGAGTTCCAGAAAACATCTACTTCTGCTTCATTGACTATGCAAAAGCCTTTGACTGTGTCGACCACAGCAGACAAGTCCTTAAAGAAATGGGAGTGCCTCATCACCTTATCTCCTGAGAAACCTATACATGGGACAGGAAGCAACAGTTAGGACTGGGTATGGACCAACTGATTTTTTCAAAATTGGGAAAGAAGTACAACAAGGCTGTATATTGTCCCCTGGCTTATTTAACTTATATGCAGAATACATCATGTGAAAGGCAGACTGGATGAATCCCAAGATGGAATTAAGATTGCCGGAAGAAATATTAACAACCTCCCATATGCAGATGATACCACTCTGATGGCAGAAAGTGAGGAGGAACTAAAGAACATCTTAATGAGGGTGAAAGAGAAAAGCGCAAAAAACGGTCTGAAGCTCAACATCAAAAAAACTAAGATCATGGCCACTGGTCCCATCACCTCCTGGCGAATATAAGGGGAAGATATGGAGGCAATGACAGATTTTACCTTCTTGGGCTCCATGATCACTGCAGATGCTGACAGCAAACACGAAATTAAAATATGCCTGCTTTTTGGGAGGAAAGCAATGACAAACCTGGACAGCATCTTAAAAAGCAGAGACATCACCTTGCTGAAAAAGGTCCGCATTGTCAAAGCTATGGTTTTTCCAGTAGTGATGTATGGAAGTGAGAGCTGGACCATAAAGAAGGCTGACCGCCGAAGAATTTGTGCTTCTGAATTGTAGTGCTGGAGGAGACTCTTGAGAGTCCCCTGGACTGCAGAGAGAACAAACCTATCCATTCTGAGGGAAATCAACCCCGAGTGCTCACTGGAAGGACAGATTCTGAAGCTGAGGCTCCAATACTTTGGCCATCTCATGAGAAGAGAAGACTCCCTGGAAAAGACCCTGATGTTGAGAAAGTGTGAAGGCAAGAGGAGAGGGGGATGATAGAGGACAAGATGGTTGGATAGTGTCACCAAAGCTACCAACATGAATTTGACCCAACTCCAGGAGGCAATGGAAGACAGGAGGGCCTGGCGTGCTGGGGTCATGAAGAGTTGGACACAATTTAACAACTAAACAACAGCAAGAGCAATCTAATCTAGCCCTGTAGTTTACATGGAAATCATTCATCCCAATATAATGAAGTGGATTAATAAGCAAGCCATTTCAGGATATTGGCATATTACTCACTTCCTCTGCTCCTCAGGAGAGGGGCAGGAGAAGTGATTTTTTTAACTGTATATGGATTATCACTGATACACTATATAAGTTATAAAAAATGTAAAATATTTCTTTGCCTTCTCTTAAAGGCCTGGTCAAGAAACTGTGCAGCAAAAGCCATTGTCATGGATTTGACTGGGACCAGTTCTTTACGACAAGGCAAAGAAAAGATTTATTTAATTTTTTATAACTAATCAATGATAGTCCAAATGCAGTCAATAAATTTTAACTTTTCCTGCCCTTTGCCAAGGAGCAGAGGCAATGATTAAGCTGCCAATATCCTGAAGTGATTGCTTATTAAGCCACTTCACCATGCTTTCAGTTTCTACAGAACTGAAGAAAATATGAGAGGAATGGATCTAAAGTTACATTTCATATGCATTGTTTATACCCCTAAACAACAAGTACTGCTCTAGCACTTTTGAGATTAAACTATAAAATTTATGCAGCATTTCCTAGGTATCTTAAGGGTGTTCTCAATGTGATAGTAATCTTATACAAAATACGTGTTAAATATTTTGATATAAATAATATAACACCTCATTGTGAGTGAGAGGCAAGTTGATGGGGAGATTTGAGTCAAGGATACTTTTGAACAATACTGCAATGTTTATTCACAACTGAGCCCTGTTGTGTCTATAGAGATTTCACATTATAGTACAGCCCTGTATGTGCTCATTCAGAAGTGAGTCATGCTTTATTTAACAAGATGGACATATCTCCACATGAGTATTTAGGATTATTAGTCATGCCACTAAAGTATCGGTTGTTTACTGTGAATTACTGTATGTTTTTATAGGCATTTCACCAAAATCTTGAAGTAGCATGTGAAGTTCTGGGTTTGATGTAGCATGATAGAATGGAGGATATACTGAAGGACTTGGAGCAATAAACATTTATGCACGTACTATACATACATTTACATAATTTAATATAGTCCGAATAAATTATGGGACATTTTGTTGACCTGCTGATCAACTAATGAGGATAGTTCATCTGTATGAGTGCACAGTTGTGCTGTATATATGTGCATAAGCTGTTGAAGAAAACAGAGTGATTGGAACAAGGTGCTAGCACCAGAACAGAGAAAAATGCAAGATTAATGAGAGTTAGAGGAGGAAGAAGACAGTTTGGCAGGGCCAGGGTGGTCCATGGATCTCCCAATGAAGGACACGGTTGTTGGAATATTGATTTTTAACATTTGGTATTACAACCATTGTTTATCACCTATTTTATTATTTATTAATTAATTTACTATAAAATAGACATAAAACAATAGTTGCCATACTAAATGTTAAGTACAGCAGTCTCAGTTCAACTGTTAGGAATTCTCTGCTCTGCTGTAAGGTGTGGAATTGTGGACTTCAGTGCTGGCTGCTATATAAAAGAGAAACATTTGGAATGTGGATGTATTGCAGAAATCAAAGAACTTATTGGATCATAAGGATGACCAGTGAAAATCAAATAGAGACCCCAAAATCATGAAAACATATAAAACGTAGAAAGCTAGAAAACTTTGTGTAATGAGAAACAAAAAGTACAGATACTTACAGCTGATTGTTCAAGATTAAATAAGGTATGTAAGGAGTGCAGGAAGGAGAAGAGCATACTGGCTGGAGATTGGTTTGGAAGTAGATAGAACACAACATCCTGGCTTAGACTTAAGAAGTCTGTGCAGGAGCAGGAGAAGCTGCAGCCTGGAACATCCTTCTTTCCTGCATGGGTCAACTTACACGGTAAAGATCAGTGACCAAGCCATCCATCTGGTCATGCTTTGAACTGCACTCCACCATCCCATTTCCCTAAGGCCTACAGGAATTGAGTTGGTATTCTGGATGGATGCTGACTCTTCTTCTGGAGAAGCTGGGTTAATGGGGCAGATTTCTGAGGAATGGACCTGGAACGTTCCTCAAGGGGCATTCTTGGGTGCAGGTTGGGAGCCATACAATGCAAGGCAAGGGTGTGTGTTTATGTACCTGAAATTGCTGATTCCAAATACTGAAAACAAAACTCTGCCAGTTTCATGTAGTCTTTGTGTGTGCTGCTATGCACACTAACCCTATATTTTATTTCAAAAGTTTAACTGTACAGTTACTCAGCCAAACTACCTAAAGGTAACTGGACCTGTGCTAATCTCTCATCCTGATCATGGTGTTAAGATATTTCCTGCATTGGCTGGGAGCTGGACTTCATGATCCATTTGGTCCCTTCCAGCTCTTCAGTTCTATGATTCTGTGATTCTAGGTCAAAGATGCAGAGTAGTAATAATGCTATCTCTGGAAGAAGAGGATGGAATCCCAACTATAGTAGACCAGTTGAATCAAATGCTGAATGGTAAGTAAACATGTGTATATCTCTTTTATACATTGTGTCTACTGTAGTTGGGAGCACCAACTGGATTCAGGTCAATGGATCTTATCCAGTTGTCCCTTTACTAAAAGAAAGTTTTTTATGCCTAGTCCTTCCATCTTTGGATGGAAACGAGACCTGAACTTATATGAACTCAGAGGAAGCTTACAATAATGGAACTGAATAACTGTCCTGGAATTATTTAGCTCTTTAGTCCTTTAAAAGTCTAAACACTGTCTTACATTAAATCAACATTACCAAAGCTCCTTATGTTAAAGAATTCTTGTGCAATAACTTCTGTCTCCCCCTGCTTTTATAATCTTTCTTTGAGCACTTTTGTTCGTCTGCTCTTATTACTAAAATTGCTCTTTAAAAACCCTAGAAAGTTGTGCTTTTTTATTGTTTTGTGGCTAAAATGCTTATTATGTTACAAACTATGCGTAATTGCCCTTATCAGTGTTTGTGTGAAAAGCAGAAGCCTTATGGTAGTATGAAACAAACATTGTTGCACCAGTTTTAGTTGCCTGTTTACTTGGAGCCGCAGGCATGTAGGGCTAATATCTCCCATTCTTCCTCTTCCTTGTCCCAACTCAAATATACAATATAGCTTCTAAGTTTGGCAACAAAATATGGTATTAATTGAAGCTCAGCAGTTTGCTATCAAAGGTACATTTTTCAAGTGGAGCTAAATGAGCCATATGTTTCATCCACTGTTTCCTATTGTGGGTGTGCACCTAGGAGCACAACCAGTACTGCATTATGAAATTTCCCTTATGCAAGAGGGACGTGGTGGCGCTGTGGGCTAAACCGCAGAAGCCTGTGCTGCAGGGTCAGAAGACCAAGCAGTCATAAGATCGAATCCACGCGATGGAGTGAGCTCCCGTCGCTTTGTCCCAGCTCCCGCCAACCTAGCGGTTCGAAAGCATGCAAATGCAAGTAGATTAATAGGGACCACCTCGGTGGGAAGGTAACAGCGTTCCGTGTCTAAGTCGCACTGGCCATGTGACCACGGAAGATTGTCTTCGGACAAAACGCTGGCTCTATGGCTTGGAAACGGGGATGAGCACCGCCCCCTAGAGTCGAACACGACTAGACAAAAATTGTCAAGGGGAACCTTTACCTTTAAGTGTAAATCAGCAATAGGACTTTGGCCACTGATTTATCTCTTCTTAAACCAGTGCTTTTGATATCCTAATAAGATCTTGTGGAACTAAGAAATGCACATCAAGACATCTCCAAATATTCTGTGACTCCACACTATTAAAAAAATGGTCATGATTCATGATCCACAAGCTGCTTTCCAGGTAAGATAGTCTGCTTTTACTAATCTTATAAAGGAGTCCTATGGTTACTGTAGTGGAACCCCACGTTATGCCTGTCCATCATGGGAAACTCAAGGGCAGGAGCCTATGAGAGGACAGGAGGGGCGAAACCAAAGGGACAGTTGAAGAGTTAGTTAGATAGACAGACAGACAGACAGTTAGGGAAGAGAGTTGGAGAAAAGTGATTTTGCAGATAGGGAATTGAAGAGAGGGTAGGAGACTGAATTGATAAAAGTTAAGAGAAATTGCTAGAGAGAATAGGAAAGAGGAAAAGTATAAACAATATATCGATAGTCAAAGAAAAGTATAACTGAATAAAAACAAACAAACCCAGCATGAAAGCAAATGATATTTAATGAGTAAGCCTTAACATCTGTGATTTACTCCTGTGATTTCCATGAAACCTGTAAAATCAATACATCTGTTTAATTGGCAGCACATGTCTAAGATCTGTTTGATATTAAGGGAATAATGCCTGGTGGCAGCATGAAGTGAGGACACACATCCAGAGGGTGGACTTGTGTTTAAGGCAAAATAAACAAAGGACACAGGGTGTACATCACAGTTAAACTTTTCTTAATTCATCAAATGCAGGGATGTGCAGTTAAGTAATTTCAGCCCCTATGTGAAAAAGCAAGTCTGTCTGTGCAAAATCTCTGGGTATTACTGTCTAGAGAAGCTTCTTCTTAACCCCTTCATTCCTTCATTTGTGTCATGGTGTTGTCATGTCACCATGACTTACAGCAGCGTTATGAATTAATGCCTTCCAGAAGGTCCTGTCTCTCAAACTAAGTGCTGTAGTTTTATTGAATCAGTTCATCTAATCTCCAGTCTTCCTCTTTTCCTGCTGCCTTCAACTTTTCTTAATGTTATTGTCTTTTCCAGTGATTCTCATCTTCCCATAACATATGCCAAGTTCAGTAGCCTCCGTTTATTTGTTTTAACTTCCCATGAGAATTCAGGCTTAATTTGAAGCAGAATCCATTTATTTGTCTTTTTGAGAGTCCATGGTCTCTGTTAAACTGTTTTCTAACCAATTTAAACCTTTTTTTTGCTGGCTACTTTATTGTCCAACTTTCGCATCTATACACAATAATGAAGTATATCATCATTGTATAAATGATCTCATCCTTGGTCTTCATCAACACATCCTTACTCTTAAGGATCTTTTCTGTTTCCTTCATGACTTATCTTCTAAGAGAAGAGCTTTTTATTTTGTAGGATGTAACTACATTGCCCAGATAATCTGAGAGTTGTGTCGAGGTGTTGTTGTACTAATTAATGTCACATGCTCTTTGTGTTGCTATACCTGTCCTCATAAGGCAGCCTCAATTGAATCGCGTTGATTTAATGCAAGGGACTACACTGCTCTTTAATTGTCCTTAAATAAACCTGGGGTTGGCACTTTGATCTACCCATAGCTCTGTCCTTTTCCTTAACAAAAAAATTAAAGAAACATGCTATAGGCAGACTAAAACTAACGTTACAAATAAAAAGACAAGCAGCAAGATAAAAGTTATTCAACTCACCATGTGCCTTTTCTTCTTCCTCTGTCCCAACTGATTGGGGAGAGCATCCCCAAAAGCTTTCCCAAAAAGCTCTTTTTTTTCAGAAGCTTTTTAAAGGTGTGTAAGGAGGATGCCTGATGTAACTCCTGTGGTACCGCCTTCCATAAGGAGGGCGCTGCTGCTGAGAAGGCACAGTTTCTAGTTGATGTTTTCTGGGCCTCTTGAACTGTCAGTATCCTCAAGCATGAGGTCTCTGAGGACTGGATCAGAAGACATTCAGACAAGTACAGTAACAAGGTCCCAAACCATTTAGGGCTTTATGTGTTAATCTTAAGATCTTGAACCTGGCACAGAAGCAGACCAGTAACCAGTGCAGATGGAACAGAGTTGGGGTGATATGATAGAACTTCCTCACCCCACCAATCAATTTGGCTGCTGCATTCTGGACCTCTTAAAATTTCTGTATCGGCTTAAAGGAGAGCCCCATATAGAGTGCATTATAGTAGTGATTTTTTAAGACTACCAGTACATGGACCAATGTTGCTAGGAATCTGTCATCTAGTAGGGATGCAGCTAGGTGATTTGCCAGAGTTGGAAACTGTTTATGAATTGATCAAAAGATTGCAACTTGATCAAGAGTACCTATGAACTCTGGTTGAAATGAATGTTGAAGCCATATCTAAATCCAACATACTATGTTCATTAGCTCTCACAAGCTACTTTTATTTCCTCTACACATGTTATGACTAGAATCCCATAATTAGAGTAGCTTTCTATGCTGAATCTAAGGCTCTTGCATTCATATATTTCATGTATTTATTATACCAAATTTCTGCAAAGGAAGTTTACAATTTTAAAACTAACCTAAAAGATTATAGATAAGAGAACAGAGTCTTTTTAGGTTAGTTGAATATCTCATAAAAAACTGATTTGCTCTTCACTTTTGCTTTCATTCAAGGCATAAATATCTTAAATAGGTCCAGGTAAGGATATGAAAATCTGTCAATTTCATCTTTGTTTCTTAGAATCCCACTTATGCTATTGTCGCATTCTAGTTCTGTACTGCCTATGATATTCCCTCTCCAGCTCATATTGAAATCCATGTATATTTTGGTACCTGTTAGTTCTAATTCAAGCATTTTTGTTATTTCCTTTTCTCCATGTGTGTAATTTTTATGCTCCCCCATTTCCTAAAGCATGTTTGTATGTATTTTTGAAATATATGAATTTTTCTAATTTTTTAAAATGTACAAATGGGTATGTGCACTTTACCTCAGTCTGTTACAAACTTTGGAAATATATGGATTTCAGAGGCAAGATGAGCTTTATCCCATGGCTAATCTCTGTAGGTATGTCATGGATCAGTTAAGGGAAACAAACCGTAACAAATTTATTTTCTATCCTCATCCTCAAGAAAGTTACTATCTGGTGATGCTTTCTCTTTAGAATGTCAGCAGCAGGTGACTGAAACGCTACCCTGTGTATGTTACAGCTGCTATAAGAGAGCATCTGTTATACCTTGCTACCTAGAGAGTTCTGGAAGTTCCAACATCACAAATCTGCTCATCTCAACTTCTTGCCTGGAGGTTCCTCAGAAGGAAGGCAACCACTTTGTGCCACTACACTGAAATCCAGACCTTCCCAGCAATACAAAATTTGGTTTTTTTTAATCCCCAAAGACTTTTACTGCTTGAATGTAAATATGATAGAATAATAAAATAATGAAGTTGGAAGGGACCTATAGACTTAGTCTGTATACCAGTTAGGGCTTCTTTCTTTTTGCCTTTGTATGCCTACATTCAAATACACACATTTTTAGAAATAGATTGAAAACAGTTTTTAAATTTTAACCTGCTTGATAACTATTTCTGTTCTTTTGGAACTCCAGAAGATCTGTATTCCCTAAACTGATGTTTTGCTTTAATGAGAAAAAAAAATCTGGTTATGTAAATCAGCCACCTGCAACCTTTTTTTGTTTTTTTGACTGGCCATAAATACAATGTGAAACAAATATAGGCCAAATTAGGATTGTATAAATTGCATAACAAATCTTAAAAGTAGTTTGTGAATAAGTGTTTCTAGTCTGTGGCCCCCTTCAAATGTGCCAGGGCCCCCCCAGGTGACTATATGACCCCCACTGAGAATGGTTGGTATG